CTACAATAAAAGTAGCCTCAACGAAACTTACCATATTTTTCTATTAACCAAAGGGATCTAGTCGAGTGCCTACCAGCTTCCTCTAAAACCTCTTTTAGTCTCATAAAGTACTTTCATAGAATTATCCAAACATGTTTAAAATCAGTTTCTTAGCCTCAAGAGCAACTTTTGACTTTTCAAAAGCTTTGTCAAACAGGCCATAAATTATTGGTTAAAGAAAAATCACACGTCACATTACAACTACACACACCTTAAGCTTAGCTGTATATATTCCTCTCGCAAGTGCCCCAGATGGAGTCGTCTCCTCCTCTAAGGTGTGTACATATGGTTCTCGTTGAGGAGCAAAAGTGCCCAACATACCTTTGCTTTGATCAACTACAAAGAAAAATCAAAGTAAAAAATGGAAGAACAAACATGAGAAATAATAATATTATTGAAGATTAGCACAAGTGAAAAAGAAGGAAAACGAGCCAAAAAATGCTACAGCTTTTTTTCATATATGTTATCGGCAGATGATTAACAGACTTCTCCACAAGCTTATTGTACCATTATAAATAGCACTCTTTAATGATGAGCAAGTATTCTTGAAAAAATTCAGAATGTGCACCATTATTAAAATATTTTCCACTCGGACAAAGGTGATAAGTTCGAAAAGATGCAAGTAATTGGTAATGTGTAAGAAAGGCAGATTCCAAACCTTGGAGTCCAGACTTCCAAACTGTATTTGTGTAGGCCAGGCCAGACACGATGTTGTGAAGAACTGTGAATGTTAGCTTAAGGCTGTAATCAGAGCCCTCTCTGAGACTAAAAAGTACATGCTTGCGCTGGTCTTCAGTAATAGGCAAGGGACTATTGAGCTCACCAAAATCAGAAGATATGATTCCGACTGATTGAAATTGAACTTCAGGCTCCATTTGTCCTGCAAAAGTAGGCATCATTACCATTGAAAAATCCAGATGAATATATAGAGTCCAAAATCATGGATCAGTGATTTTTTAGACGAACCATTTAAATCACTTTCCAAGCAGCCAAGAAGCTTCTCCTTCCATCTTCTTAAGCTCTCATCCTCCTAAGGACAATATAAAAATTGGTATCATTGACTTCAAATTCACAATATTGTGTGTGAATCAATAAAATATTGATGCATATTTCTTTTCTATATTCATTTGAGAATTAGTAAAGACCATAATATTGTTCATGAATTACTTTTTCTTCGTTCTTCGTTCTTCTTCTTCTTCTTCTTCTTCTTCTTCCTTTTTTTTTTTTTGGGGTTTTGTGATAGTTTCATACACGTTGCTCCCGCATCAACAACTACTCACTCATGAATTCGAACACCTTGAACTTGAAGGTTACAAAATAACAACTGAAAAAGTAAAACTTAAATACTAGAACACCTTAAAATTTGTACAGACAAAAATGATCAAAGTCCAAATGCCAATAGCAGAGTGTAAGAATATAAACCCATCCTTTCAATTATAAATAAGTGCTGGGCTATATTGACTGTTCCCCCCCCCCACCCCTCTCAGAGAGTAAGAATATGCACCCCACCACCTCTTGACATGCTATCTCAATTCATTATCCCTGCTATTTAATAATCAAATTTCACTTTCAAAACTGAAGAATTCGTCCTAAGAGTAATTACCCAAATATGTAGATCAAAGTATAAGGGCTCGGACTACTTGTATTAAGGTTGACCTTCTAATACAGACGACAACATGGTAACAAAGCTCGTTAAGCTCCAGCAAATAATTCGATCCAATGAAAATTAAAAAAATAAACACATTAATTTCAAAATTGAACTGCTAAACTCCCACGTCGAATAATTATTAAAATATAGAATAACATATAAACAAGATTCATTTTTGCACCAAGAGTGACAGATCACAACTTTCGTGTACGACTACATTCAAACAAAACATAGATTTTGCAGAGAAATGTAAAAGCAAAAAGAACAAGAACGGGTAAGCTTAAGAAGAAGAAGCAGAAGAGGAGGAGGAAAAAACCTTGTCTTTTTCAATCTGTTCTTTGAGAGGAAGAAGAGGACCAGGATTAAAATTCTCAAAAACCTTTTTATTCTCTTGATCCATTTCATCAAAACCCTCTTCTTCAAAATCAAAGCCCTCTTCATTTTCCTTTTTCTTCTCTTCTCTCACTGAAGCACTTGGCCCTGTTTCTTCTCTTTTAACACTCTCCATTCCACTACTGCTTAAAATTTTTAAAAGGGGCACTCAAGAATTAGAATGGGGGCAATAAAATGAATATATTTTACTATGGGCAGACGAGAAAATCTCTCAAATGTTTGATTTTCTCTCTCTAGAATTATCGCACAAACAACTCTACTTTCCGTTGTCGGAGGGCATGCCCTATCTCGTGTAGAAGAGCGTGTAATGTGTACATCTTGGAAGAGGATAATGTAAAATGCGCAGTGATTATAGTTATTCGATGGTTACTACTGATGTTCGAATGGTGCAAATTTTGAGTCTGTAATAAATAATAACGATTTTAGTAAAATAGCAACGTATAAACATTTTATCAAATCTTTACTCTGTTTTCTTGATTTGAAATTGAATGTCACAATATCCCTCATTATCTAGTCGATTCTTAATATATGTGAAAAGATTTAACCGGCAATGAATAAACTATCTTTTTACACATACATTATATTTTACATCATGAATAAAATTCATATAAGTTGAAAGTTGTTTATATATTGATTTAAACAATGCTTTAAACAATCAGATTTTGACAACTCACATGATGTCTAACAATATCATCTAGGAATGTACATCTAGATTGCTCAAAGAATAAAATATATCATTCCCAATGCATAATATTTTTCAACCCCGCCACTCAAAATAGAAACGAAACATTTATAGATCATTTAAGTAAATTCAACATAACAATACAAGAAGTAAAGGGCCATAAGAGCCTAGTCCATACTATATTGCTCAAAAAATTCATCATTTGCGGAGCTCTTCGTCTCTGACAGCTCGACCGAGTTGATTACTTGTACCATCTGCTCTGCTTTAATTGCATAGGCTAGGCAACTTCTCATCTTGCCTAGTCAAAACGGCTCCGGGACTCAATAGTCTTATTTGTGAACAAGGTTTTTAATTTTGAACTGCTTCTGTAACTACATTCGCGTCAACATTGAATTTATTGTACGTAGCTCATGAACACATGCAGCTCATAACCAAGACAAGATTCAAAAACAAAATTCATACTTTTTTTATTTTCAGAAATCAACAGGTCGATATAATACAATGAGAATTGAAATTTATAGAATAGCTCATCATCTGAAAGGCTGCACAGGTTCCGTCTCTTCGAGGAGTGCAGCCGCCTCAAAACATTCAGCGGCCTCCAATGCCAATGCCTCACCCTCATCCTTGTAAAGGAGGCCAAGATTATACCATGCTGAAGTATTCATTCTGTCGAGTCTAAGTGCTTCTGTCAGAAGGCTCCGGACAATGGCCGAAGACGACCTACCAATCCGTCCGAGAAGCACTGCCTTGCAGACTAGACTGGGGACGTGCGTTGGATCAATATCCAGAGCACGCATAAATGCTGTCAGTGCTTCTTTGTGGTGGCCCTTAGCTTCGTGAAGTAATCCTGCATACATCAAACGAAATGAATCTCACACTCTACAAGCAAGTTCACTCGGCCAGATGAATGCAAGCACGTGAATCTTAATGGAGGAATCTAGTTATTTAAATATTGGAACGACCTAAAAGGGGGATGGGACATCAGAAATTCAGGCGGCATCTAAAACTTGCCACTTCTAAGTTCATGTTTGTACACAGTATTATGCTCCTATTTGAGCCCCATTATCCAATTCATTTTTCCCATACTCATTTTCAACCACACATTTTACTAATAAAATAATTTGCATATAAACCCAAAATTTTTCCTTATTTTTTAACCACACTTTCTCCGAAAAATCACTATTACAAAATTCATTTTAACATAAAAATAAGGCTCAAACAACGGCTAAATATCTGACAAGGCAATACAACATACATAAATTCAACTTCTTTTTCTCATATCGATTGTCAAAAACTATCTAAGCCACCTTACCAAAAAATAATCATAAACACCAAGTAAATATCAAAATCATCCCAACAAAACCAACATCTCAAAACCATTTAGATTGAGGGGACTTTTCTTTATACATTAGCATATACAAACTTCCTGTCCTCTGCCTCTTCAAAAAGACACTCCAACCATGAGGCACTATCATTCCGGAAGGACACCTCCATAGGATAATAAATTTAATCATCAGTGAACGGTACGAAAAATTGATTTTCTTTTCAATCACCCTACAATCAGATATTAGACAAAAAGCCTGATAATAAATACTTGTATTTCATTCATTTTCTCAACTTCTCTTCGACATCTGTATTATTTCAACAGAACCTCTTCAGAATCACGGTGAAGTTACAACCTTAGTTTGCCCCTCTTATAATCTCAAAATTCTCTTCGCTCCTATCAATATTTGTCAATTGTCAGAGACAAAAGCTTTTTTATACATCTACTATAATCGGTATCATTTGATTACTTTTCAAATATTAAACAAATATTGAAACAGTAAACTAACCCAACGAACTATACTCTTGGAGACCATTGCACTTGGTCATCCGTCATCATATAAATAATTTAAATATAAATGCATTCATGCAAAACTGAAAGACCATTTTGGATCTGTGTTTTCCCTTTGAGCTTTCCTTTAAAATGAAATGAAAACAGAATAGTAGACGAGATGGGTAAAGGAAACGATATTAAAAAAAAAAAAAAGTGAGTATTATGTAATTATACCAGCTGTCTGCCATCGGGAAGCTGAGAAAGGACTAATTGCTTCAGATTTAGAAAGACAGATCTCAGCATCACGCCACTGGGACAATCTTATGTAGATTGAAGCCAGATCGTGCCATGTTTCCATCTCTAAATTCTTATGGTGGTTTCTGTTTTCCTGTCAATTACATAGAAAGAAAGGCACTTCAGTCTAAACTACTTTTTTCCCAGGTGGGAAATGAGTCGATATGCATACAAAAATATGTCCAGCCAATTTTTATACAGTACAAAAAATGATAATAATAAGCTACTAGCTGACAAAAACACACTTCCGAGAAGAAAATTACGTGCCAGAGATGTAGCTTGAAAATAACATGGACTATGACAGAAATGAATACCCCCAATTCAGATACACACAGACGCTTCTTCCAAGATTAATATTGTAGAAAATTTTCCTAGAAACACACTTAATTAAGGTTCTAATGTGCTAACTAAAAATTTGAAAACATGATTGAAGCACAATTACTACTAAACTGAAATACTTTTAAGGGGAAACAGAAGAAAATAAGGGAGAAAGGAAGAACGAAAACAGTTGAAAAGTATCACAGTAAGATCCTTAGTGAACAAGGGAGAACTCAATTTAACTTTCTGTAGGGGAAATAATCCAATAGGACAAGCAGGCAAGTTTTGAAGAGTTAAGAAGTGGTAGAGAGCCATGGCTTCACAAAATAAACCTTGTTATTTTCCTTCACCTGATATAGCCAATCATCTAGCTGAATCTGCAAGGTTTGAGACGGATATATCCAACACGAGAACATGACTCAAGGCTTCTATTCAAAGTGTACAAGCATGTTTCGATTTGCTTCTTTTGTAGAAGAACACAGCATTTTTTGACAGTATCACCTTGATACTGGCCAGAAGTCCAGAACGAAGCCAATTTTGGCTTCTTTGTTGGCTTTTAAGCTAAGCTAAACATACTTGTGGTGTACTTAACAAATCATCTACAAATTATCCCTTGAGCTTAATTACTAGCTCAAAATCTATCGACTTTATTCTGCCACGATCAACTGAATCTTGTGCCTTCAGAAACCAAACCATGAAAGAATATGTGCACGTGCTTATGCAGCAACTACATGTTTGATGTAGGCTACTCATATGTATGGTTGTCACTTCATTCTGCCATGATCAACTGAATTATGTGCCTTCAAAAACCAAACCATAAAAGAATATGTGCACATGCTAATGCAGCAACTACGTTTGATGTAGGCTACTCACATAAATGGTGTATTATTATTTATCCTTAGAAACAAAAAGTATTTGGTTATGTATTATCCTTGGGAGGAGGGGATTTACTGATTTAGCATCATCATAGGAATTTAACAACTACATAGCTCTTTCAAAATTATCTCAATTTTATAAGGTGTAGGCCGATGATATGCCAATTGGAGCCCCTAGTAATAAATTTGAACACTCCAAGTACATGCAATTCTCAGCTCATTGAAACTGTCCACTTGATGCGAGCTAAGAAACCTAGAAAGCATCATGGATATTTTGGCTAATGGCAAAGGTCCATTACCCGACGTAGGCACAACCTAGGTAGCTGACACACTTGAGGAAGCCTCTGACGAAGAGAAAAGGTGGTGACTTCCCAACTTGGCATAATCCATGTAGCTAATACACTGAAGGAATCAATGTAATCTCAACATGCATGCAAGATAAGTTTTAAATTACGTGAAGTTCTTAAATAATGCTTGCACGTAACTAAAAGTAACATGCAGAGCAATCTCAATTTGACTTCGAAAACTCAAGGACCTAAAAACAAAGGAAAATTATTTCATTATACATGAAGCCACACACCGAGAATCATCCCATCAATTGCTTCAATTTCCAAAATTACTCCATACAGAAACTTAGGAGGAATTGTATTAATCATGCAGGATGGACAAGACATCAAAGTTGTTTGAAGTACAGGATAACAAGTCACCCTATGGAAAGTAGCAATTCATGCCAGCCTGGATGCATCAAATTTGTATATGTTTATGTAACATAGAGATTCGAACTATTGTAAACCTGCTGACATGAAAAACATTTTGCAGGCAGCCATAGTCGAAAGATAATCTTTATTATGCCTTATTTTGGAAGGTAGAGGGAGGTGTCATTAGTGAATTGTGAGAATTAAGTGGTGACATCGAATTTCTTTGAAAAACATTTTATTTGTATGCATGGTACAATTAGATCCAGTATATAAGTAATACACTAATTATGCACAAAAAGTTCCATGTAAATATTTTATGTACACAAGCTCTGAGATTTTATGACCTCGGTTCATGATGAAATAGGTACATATTATAGGTACTTGAATCCTAGCATATATACAAATCATATTTATTTTAAGCAAACCAGAAGATTTAGTTTATACAACTACAGGATTTGTGTAGGTATTCAACTCAAGTCTACTTATCCTCAATGTATTGATATGAATACAAAATCTATACCACCCTTCAACTAAATTTCAGAACAAGTTCTCTGTCAAATTTTAAGCACTTGAACCGTTCTTAAAATTTCAATCCACGTAATTTAAGGTTAACTTGTATCTCGTATGGGTCTTTCTAACAGCTTCTGTCAAAGTTCTCCATAAACATGGTTAAAACATCCACTTTTTCAACAAATAGGTTTCAACCAACCAAGCAACAAGACATCCAAGAGTCGCTTGATTCATTTGAAGACTTTAAACAACCCTTAAATGTTACTAAACAATGTTCATCATCAGTTGTAAGGAAGTGAAATATGCGTGCGTGTGTGTGTATTTAACGACTTTAAACAACCCTTAAATGTTACTAAATAATGTTCATCATCAGTTGTAAGGAAGTGAAATGTGTGTGTGTGTGTGTGTGTGTCTAACAAGTGAGCGACAAACGCACCTTTTGCTTCTTCCCTGAACCAAAGGTTTTCCTCTGAACCTGAAGAACAGCAAGAAGCTGAGTATAAGTTTCTATGGCCTCCTTCACTAGTTCCTGTGCAATTTGGAGTTTAGCCTTAGTTTGCAGCAATTCTCCCTGATCCCATTTTCCAGTCTGATCCAGAGCTGCATTAATGATGATTTCAGCATCAAGAAAACGTTTCTGAGCAGATAAAATTCGAGCCAACAGTATCCATCCTTTAAGGTTAAACCCGCCTTCCAATTTAAGCAAAAATTTTGCATACTGAAGTGCCGTATCCAACTTCCTTTGCTCGGCATTTTCTAAACAAAGGTGGTAAACGATACTGGGGTGGCCCATTCTTGTCATTCTCCCAGCAATTTCCAAGGACTTGAGAGCCTCAGATTGTCTTTTAGCCCTCTCACTATCTTGTATACACGATCTAGAATTTGCCGAATGTGAGATGCCTAGCATGCAATTGGCAACACCTGCCAACTGGTCACATCTTCCATGCAAGCTCTCAATTGCCCTGCAAGCAAAAGAAACTCCATCTTCTGCAAATTTTGAGCTCTCCCCACATATCTTTGAAGCAAATAGTAAAGCTGGTACACATGTAGGATCTTCATGACTTTTCAACATTTTTTTCCATAAATTCAGAGCAGATAAGTCGTCGCCTTCTCCATGGTAACAGAGAGCCAATATATGATACCTTTCTTTCTGTTGTAAAAACCCAGGCAGCAACTCTTCCACTTGATTAGCTAAAGCCCTTAATCCACCTGATATAGATAATGCATAGCAAAGGTGATCCAAAATTGATGGATCCCACTCAATTCTCTTGAGGGTAAATTTCCTTAAAAGAATTATCAAAAGAAGAGTAGCTTCCTCAGTATTGTTTTTAGGGACAAAAGAACTGTCCATTTGGGATTGCAGACTTGGGGGATTTGCTTCAACTCCACTATAGAGAAGAAAAATGGCAAACTCTTTTTGTATCTTAGCCGTAATTTGTGCATCAAGGTTCCATTGATGTAGAAGGGCCCGACGGTAAGACAAAATAGCTTCACTCGGATGATCAGCAAGTTTCCATAATCCTGGAAGCAGCTCTACAGCCTTGTTTATTGTTTCCTGCAATTTACAGTCAGAGAGGGGGGGGGGAGGAGGAGAGAGAGCAGTAGCAAGAAATGCAAATATTGGAACTTCCGAAAATTAGGATGTTGATATCTTGTTAACTACAAACAGCAGTTAGACATCATTAAAATGCTAAGAGAATTTTCAGATGATTTTTATATAGATGGCTGTAACAATCATTACCATTAATAATGGAAATACTCTGCACGAAATATTACATTTGATACTTAAAAAAAAAGACAATAATAAGTCTGATAAGCACCAAAGAATTTTTATATATCTAAATAATTCAAATTATTTAGGTGATTACAATAAAGGAAAAAGGAGAATATAATAAAAATCTAAAACTGCATGAATCCATACGATACTGTTGAAGATGAATATTAAATTTGTCCCCTCTCCAAGATCTTAAACTTTTAAATAAGGCGATTCTATTTGCAGATAACAAAAGGATGATTCACCAATTAGCACGCGAGCTACCTTTATACCTCCCAAATGCTTGTAGTGATTTTGATTTTAGGAGCATTGCTTCAAACAGCAAGCTAACAGCATGAATTGACATTGGTGGTGGTGCAAACTTTTGTGACCGCCTTTTACGAGTTTCTCCTCTTATAGAAAGCGCAGTTTTCATCTTTGGAGTCACTGCAGCAATGTCTATCCCTTCAAACACGTGTAAGGCCGCTTCTAGGTTCCCTTTCTGATACTCATACCTTCCTAACAACGCTCTGGCTTCCTGAAATAATGATTTCTTAGTCATAGGTATAGTAAATAAACAAGCTGCCATTTCGTCGAAGCACCAATTCTTGGGGCATATTTGCTAATGCTTAAAAGTAAGTCAAACTTACTTTTAAATTACTTATTTGACAAGCATGATTTTTACAGACAACACTTACTTTCCTAGAAAATCTTTAACTTAATTTCTAGAGAAATTTTAAGCACAGCAAAACATGCTCTTACTCAAAGACTCAGCTAGCCAAGATACTCGTATTTTAACTCTGATGATAGAAAGATTAGTAAAAAAACAGCATTCGATATATGGATGAGAAAGTAAAGCAAAATCAAATTGAAATGAGTGAAAATTCAACCAAAGATACGGATAAAAGAAACATCAAAAGGATTTCAGCATAAGAAGAATTAGAGAGACAACCTCATAATTTAAAGAACCACTTTCTCGTAATGATGATTCAGCTTCTTCAATATTGCCAGTGTCAGGTTTCCGTTCAGCTTCTTCGGCTTGAGATGAATAAACACTGTGTGTATAATCCTTTGTTGCGAGAGATTCAGAAGAAGGGACCATTTCTTCTCCAAGTAACTGTTCCCCTGAGCATAGACACTGCATTATCTTTCCCAACTCAATACTAATCCGATCCCTCCTCCTTTCTTTAATACGATTCTCATTCCTCATACCGTTTCAGCCCTCCCACAAATCTTCAAAACNAGCCCTTAATCCACCTGATATAGATAATGCATAGCAAAGGTGATCCAAAATTGATGGATCCCACTCAATTCTCTTGAGGGTAACTTTCCTTAAAAGAATTATCAAAAGAAGAGTAGCTTCCTCAGTATTGTTTTTAGGTACAAAAGAACTGTCCATTTGGGATTGCAGACTTGGGGGATTTGCTTCAACTCCACTATAGAGAAGAAAAATGGCAAACTCTTTTTGTATCTTAGCCGTAATTTGTGCATCAAGGTTCCATTGATGTAGAAGGGCCCGACGGTAAGACAAAATAGCTTCACTAGGATGATCAGCAAGTTTCCATAATCCTGGAAGCAGCTCTACAGCCTTGTTTATTGTTTCCTGCAATTTACAGTCACCACCAATGTTTTCAGGCAAGCCTGCTGGCAATGAAGACTCAACAATATCCAGGATAACTGCGCACGATTGAGCAGCTTCTGCAAAGATGATAAAATCATAAATCAAAAAACCATTCATAATTTGCCAATTCATCAATCTCGCAGATAGTTTTTACCCTCGTTACCCAGCACCTTTTCCCTTTCCCAGTAAAAGAAAAAAAGAGGGGGGGGGGGGGGGGGGGGGGGAAAATGAGAAAAAGAACAAGGAACGAGTATACTAATTTTTAGCAGATTTTGGAGGGGAAAATAAATACAACTTCATACATTTCTTGCCATTTGATCGTGTCCCTTTTTACTCTCTTTTATCATTTATTTGCAAAAGTTGTGATCGTGCTTGAGCGAGATTATCATTGCTCGTTCGCAAGCCTTTCGATCACTTTGTCGATGCCTGAACTATTTAATCTCGCGTCGAAGGAGCATCTCCTGCATCCATTACACTGTTCGATCAAATCAACAATCAAAACGCATCGAAATTTTCCCGCGTGGATGCGAATGGGCCTCGCATCTATTGGTGTTATTTTTTAGCGCCAACACATTTGATTAGTAAGAATTGCCGTCTAGAGGTTTTGTTTGGCTGGGCGTGGGGAGGAGTGCCTACTTGATTATGAAAGATAATGAGAATGACTTATTCAAAAATGAAAAGATGCTTATGGATTAGGTGGGTAGGGTAGGATAGGGTGGGTGGATGATTTTGTTCAGGGAAGGAGAAAATTTCTAAATTCTTTTTGTTTTATGTGTTATTATGTGATTGATTGAAGTGGGATTTATTTTTACTTTTTGACATGTTATGTGATTCCATTTGCAATTTTTCCTTATTTTTGTCGTTTTATTGCTCTCTTTTATATTTATTTATTTAAGGAGAATGACAAATCCGCCATTTAATGGTCAAACAAGAGGGAATGATGAGTTTTGCTATATAATTGAAAGGTTAAAAATGAATTATTAGTTACATTTGGGAAGATTGAGGACGAAAAAGTGCAAATTCCCCTTAATCAAATTCTTTAATTTTTGTTTCCCAAGGTAATAATATGGATTTATTAATAAAAGGTTAGATCAAGATTATGGTTTAGGCCATCCAACAAAAAAATAAAAAAAAATTGATTAGGGTTGAGGACATTGATTACAATGTATAGCTTTGCGTCTATTTGTTTCCAATTCTTAGCCAACCTCATAATTTAAAGAACCACTTTCTCGTAATGATGATTCAGCTTCTTCAATATTGCCAGTGTCAGGTTTCCGTTCAGCTTCTTCGGCTTGAGATGAATAAACACTGTGTGTATAATCCTTTGTTGCGAGAGATTCAGAAGAAGGGACCATTTCTTCTCCAAGTAACTGTTCCCCTGAGCATAGACACTGCATTATCTTTCCCAACTTAATACTAATCCGATCCCTCCTCCTTTCTTTAATACGATTCTCATTCCTCATACCGTTTCAGCCCTCCCACAAATCTTCAAAACCATAAGACAGATAATTAAAAATTATAATATGGAGTCATATTTACAAGCTTGCCATAAAGTTTCTTACAATCAGTGCACTATAGTCAGAATTGCAAATAACTACACCTCAAAATACAGAAAATTCACTTGTGTTAGCCATTAGTGATATGTTCAGTAAGGGGACAAGTCAATACTAGACAGAATAAACAAGAAGCAGAAAAAAGTTACAATCTTGTCCATCTTCTGTAGTACAGCTGCATGCCATTCATATACTGGAAGGACTTATTTTTCCATCAATCATACAACTTAACAAATCTCAAAAAAGAATTGAGAAATGGAAACTTTAAACTCAATACCAGACTTCAAAATTTCGAATTCTTATTAACTGTCTTATGAGTTATGATCCATTTCTGAATTCAACTTATATCATACTACCTAGTGATCATCAAAATCACAATCCAAAACTCCCAAGACCCCAAAAAATTCAAGATTCTACAAATTAAGAAACTTTCGTGCTTAAATAGATTGAATCAAATTAAATAATCCATTAAAGCAAACATAATTAAATACCAATTAAAACAGAAGAACATATACACATATTTACATCTTACTGTCGGAATAACAATACAGAAAGCAGATGCTCGAAGCGCACAGAACATCAAAACCAACCCACATCTCTTCTTATAACCGATCAAAATTCCAATCTTCAAAGAAGATAAAACAAAATACTTCGATCAAACAAGATTCTCAAAAAGTTTCAAGAACCTTTTATTTTTCTCTTCCTATTTCTTTTATTCAAAGAATCGAATTTTGAACAAAGGCGTTAGAAAGAAGACTTGATTTATTTAAAAGGGGCAGAAGTGATAGAAAAATCAGGTATTGAGAATATTCAATTCTGTTAAACATTGGTGATGGGGATTTGGGAAACGAAATTTCTCTAAAGCCAAATTTGTAATTATTTAGGGTTCTAAGCGCATGTGCCACGTGGATAAGCTTCCATTTCAAGAATTTTTGTGCTGTCTGCTTTTGAGGGTCACTTAAATTCGCTGCTGACAAAAAGTTATAGCCATTAAAATCAATTTTTTTTAGTAAATTTTAATGAAAATTGAAAAGTACTTTATCTCATTTTAATGCGATACCAAAATTAATTATTAATTTTAAATTTAATTGTAACCCCCGCAAAACAAAGACAAATTCTCAAGGTCGAACTTGACATTTTAAAGAACTTTAAAACCGTATTTTTGTACAAGATTAATTCGATCCCAAATAACACAAAAGTCTTTACAAGTTTTTGGTATATCTCTTATTTGCAATGTCGTATATAACATGTTAACGAACTTTTTACATCGTGTTTTTGTGTGAAGTCAAGGCTTAGAATTCAATTAATACGAAAAGCTATATTATTCCATTCTTATTATCATCGTTAGCGTAAACTTATATTGAAGTGCATTTCTCAGTACACCATCTTTTGCTTATTACGGTTTGGTTTACCTATGTATTTGTCAAGATTTTTATGAATTTTTTTCATCTTGTACTATTTCTATTGAATTTCTTTTTGTTTAATTGAACAACTAAAGGGTAATCTAAGATTCTAGCTTGTTTGCCCAACTTCGAAGATTTAGATGGATATATATTAGTAGAACTAGGACAAAAAATGCTTGAGGTCTACCCACAAACCTTTCCCTTTAAAAAAAACTAACAAATACACGTGGATTGTGAAAATCCCCTGTAACACCTGACATTTGAGGGTTACACATTTCATAATATTTTAAATTTGAAGACCGTTGATAAAGAAAAATATGATTAAATTTTGGTTTATTGTTATATACAATGTTGTTTAATGTCACATAATATATCTAATCCCTTTTTAGCTTATCTTAGAAAGAACCTAAAGGGAACTATATATAATCAACATTGGTGGTCATCTTATATTAAGCACATGTGATGCTTTTACAAATTTGTTGACGGATAAATTTATAATGGGCTTAGCATTTGAACTAAGTTTAAAATTCACTACTGAATTTATATGACATATTGCAGGTATTTATCATAAAATGAGCATCGTTGCCCATTAATCTGTATATTTAAGAGTTGGAACAAAGAGTTAAATATAAGTAAATTGATTGTGTTACTTTTGGATTTGACCCAACCTAGACCTAGTAACATTTGGGCTGCGCTGCTCAACCTGAATATTTTTTAACCTCACTATGCAAAAACTTTTGGGAAAATTTTATAAGTAAGAAGAATGACATATTTCAAAATTAAGAAAACAAGTTGCAAACTTTAAAAATTAGATTTTTATTAAATTTTATTTATAATTTAATTAATTAATTATATTTAGTCACATATCTATACAATTTGGTCATAAATTAACAATTTAATTAGTCACTTATTATTTTTTGTCTATTATGTTAAATTATTTTACGATCACAATTCAAAAATTTTGTATGTCACAGTTTGTTCATTTGTCACAAATAAAAAATCTAATTAGTCACAGATTAATTTTTAGTTACAACTTATCAAATTATGGGCCATAACTTATTTTTCGGTCACAAATAAAAAATTTTATAGGTCGCATATTATTTTTCGATCAATAATAAAAAAATTTGTAGGTCACAGATCACAAATATTATAAATCACAACTTATTAGACAATCACAAATTATTAATTGTTTAAGACAAGCATTATTTCTTGGTCACATATTATTTATTGGTCACAGATTAATCGATTTACCGGTCACAATCAACCAAATAATTTGTGACCATCACCAACACTTACAACCACCACTTCAACGTTGCCTCCAACAGCACCACCACCACCATCACCGCCAAAACCACCCGACATTGGTCACAAATTAACCAATTTATTGCTTATAACAAATTATTTTCGGTCACAAATCAAAAATTTTACATGTCACATATTACTTTTGCTCACAAATTAACCAATTTATTGGTCACGACATCAAAATAATTATCACATCGTCCCAACTTCGCCTATTGCCATTGCCACAACCTACAATGCACCGCTTAAACCACAAACCAATTGGTACCACAAACACTGTCTTTACCTGAGTGCACTACCATCACTGCCAACTATACCTCAATACACAACCATTGGATACCCAATCTCACCACCAC